GAATATGGATATGTCTACATTTCTCTGTAAGTCAGTGCAGACGCTGAAAATATCAGTGGTGTGTTGGGACTCAGTCAGCCTCTCTTCTCTCTCTGAGTTGAGTCCATGCCCCTGTACAAGCTTCATATTCACAGTCTTGACACACACACACACACATTAGCACACGCATGCACACACACACACACACACACAGCTCAGAACGAGCGTCATATTCACAGTGCTCATAACGCTCTGATTTACATCAAAGGGGGCACATTTTATACTGGCCTACTTTCCCTCCACTACCCCACCATCACCACACTCTCTCTGTCTCTCTCTCTCTCTCCCAGGTACACATACCGTGTGCTGAGCAACACAGTAGCCCCCTCCCCCCTCGTACGGGCCAGGCATCTGGAGCGGCTGGACCCCACCGCCAGGGAACAGTGGATCAGGGAGTGGAGGGGGCTCAGGGGAGAGAGGACAGTGGGGGTGGGCCCAGGAACAGACCCAGGAACAGACCCAGGAACAGGAGCCTTCTCTGGGCAATCAGAGTCACCCCTACCCTCACCATCATCCACCTTGTAACCCTTTTCCTCAGAGCACAATCCAGTTCGAACTTCAACAATGAAGAATTGTGACATCACAGAAAGTGACATCATGATGAACGTCATCACCAAGAGATCTCTGAACCCCTTTCTGTCTTGAGAACCTGGGGGGGGGACAAGGGAAGCACCACTCTCCTCTCTCCACTTCCCCTCGGAACAAGAGAGGCACCACTCTCCTCTCTCCACTTCCCCTCGGAACAAGGGAAGCACCACTCTCCTCTCTCCACTTCCCCTCGGAACAAGAGAGGCACCACTCTCCTCTCTCCACTTCCCCTCGGAACAAGAGCGGCACCACTCTCCTCTCTCCACTTCCCCTCGGAACAAGCCTCCGTAGCAAACACATTAGCCTGTTACTCTACTGATGGTTTTCAGAGCACACTGGTAACCCAATCAGTCTCGCCTTCCTTCCCCACCCTGCACCACCCACACCATCCTTACGCCCCTCTCCAATAAACCAACCTTTTCCAGAACAAAGCACTTAGTATGTTTTATTTAAAATTCCCCTGCCTCACATAGGCTATGTCATTAATGGCACCCTATTCCCTATATAGTGCACTATTGTTGACCAGGGCCTATGGTCCCTGGTCAAAAGTAGTGCACTGTATAGGGAATAGGGTGCCATTTGGAACACAGCGAGACCTAGACACCTGAGAGTAATTTGCTCAATGGACGGATGCTCCAAATCCCATCACCTCTCGCTCTGTGGCCTCTGAAGCACACAGACACACACCGTACCATAACTCATGTGTCCCCGTCCAACTCCCAAACTACCCATCATGCCGTAGTTTGGTACACTGCAGATGGTGCATCATGTAGTGGCGTTTTCAGTTCATGGACTTCGTTTCCAAATGGCACCCTACTCCCTACATACTGCACTGCTTTTGACCAGGGCCCAATCTGGTCAGAAGTGGTGCATTATGTATGGAATAGGGTGCCATTTGGGACACAGTTCATGCGTCTAGATTTGGAACATTTTGAGCAGTTATGTACGAAGGTGTCAGGATGAGGACACAAAATCGTAATAAGGCTGGCCTGTCTGAGATTCCTGCATCTTTTCCTCATTAAATGTGTCTCTTTTTGAATTGTTCAATGTCAAATTAATATATATATAGATTATTGAATAATGTTACAAAAATAAACCCACACGTATACACAGATAGAATAAATAGACAGCTTTACATTTGAGGTTTGTAAATGGGATGTGATCACCTGTATATGTATAAATCAAATAAAGAGAAACGTCATGGGAAGGAACTTATAAATGATCAAGTTCATGTTCAGCATTTGCGTAATTCAAGTGTGTTCTCGATAGCCTTGCGGTGAGAAGGTCTAGCTGTGATTCCATTGGTCAAATTCATTATAGTGCCTGTTTATATAACGTCCTAGCATATTCTGTTGTATTTTTGACTTTATGTTTTTTTACCCCATATGTAACTCTGTGTTGTTTTCATCGCACTGCTTGCTTTATCTTGGCCAGGTCGCAGATGTAAATGAGAACTTGTTCTCAACTGGCTTACCTGGTTAAATAAAGGTGAAATAAATAAATAAATAAAAATAAAAATTCTACTGCTTCCTTCTTAGAACGTCTCTGCTCTCTAGTGGCTGATGTAGGAACTGCAATAAGGTCATTTGAGAATTGGGACAATGTCATGGATGTTACATCCCATGTTTACTGATGAGGGTGTCACAATACTATACATAGCCCACAAACAACACACACCATGATTCATCGATTAACAGTGTTATGCATGGAGATCGTTGGCATGGTAAAACTGACAAACGGGAAATCTCTGATCAGAGTGTATTTGGTGCCATAGGTCTTGTACAGTGGCCTTTGTGAGGAATATGTCAAATGCTTAGCTCAAAATGTCTTAGAATTGCAATTAAACAGTCAACATTACAGTTCCCACTGCCAGAATTACAAGTCCCATAGTAAATTGAAAATATTTCATAAAATCTTAAAAAGGTGAAATCCCCAGAAAGTACAATTTGAGTGAAACTAAGTCACATGGTCATCTGTAGCTCAGCTGGTAGAGCACGGCGCTTGTAACACCAAGGTAGTGGGTTCGATCCCCGGGACCACCCATACACAAAAATTTATGCACGCATGACTGTAAGTCGCTTTGGATAAAAGCGTCTGCTAAATGGCATATTAATTAATTAATTAATTAATTAACATACAGTAGGTATGGTTAAGCCAGATTTTAATTTGCAGACTTTTACATGCAAATATTATGATAATATTTGAGCCAGCAATATGTAGATGCACAAAGTAACTCAGTCCACAATGAATGTATAAAAAACAGACATATTTCAATTTGGTTGAATCAGAGCAACTAATGCCTAATAAACATGTTATAAAACCATGACTAATTTGTAACCCCCTCCTCCCAGATCATTACCAGGCTGGCTGGCCTCACCCCCTCCTCCCAGATCATTACCAGACTGGCTGGCCTCACCCCCTCCTCCCAGATCATTACCAGACTGGCTGGCCTCACCCCCCTCCTCCCAGATCATTACCAGGCTGGCTGGCCTCACCCCCTCCTCCCAGATCATTACCAGGCCGGCTGGCCTCACCACCTCCTCCCAGATCATTACCAGGCTGGCTGGCCTCACCCCCCTCCTCCCAGATCATTACCAGGCTGGCTGGCCTCACCCCCTCCTCCCAGATCATTACCAGGCTGGCTGGCCTCACCCCCTCCTCCCAGATCATTACCAGGCTGGCTGGCCTCACCCCCTCCTCCCAGATCATTACCAGGCTGGCTGGCCTCACCCCCTCCTCCCAGATCATTACCAGGCTGGCTGGCCTCACCCCCTCCTCCCAGATCATTACCCAGGCTGGGTGGCCTCACCCCCTCCTCCCAGATCATTACCAGGCCGGCTGGCCTCACCACCTCCTCCCAGATCATTACCAGGCTGGCTGGCCTCACCCCCTCCTCCCAGATCATTACCAGGCTGGCTGGCCTCACCCCCTCCTCCCAGATCATTACCAGGCTGGTTGGCCTCACCCCCTCCTCCCAGATCATTACCAGGCCGGCTGGCCTCACCCCCTCCTCCCAGATCATTACCAGGCTGGCTGGCCTCACCCCCTCCTCCCAGATCATTACCAGGCTGGGTGGCCTCACCCCCTCCTCCCAGATCATTACCAGGCCGGCTGGCCTCACCACCTCCTCCCAGATCATTACCAGGCTGGCTGGCCTCACCCCCTCCTCCCAGATCATTACCAGGCTGGCTGGCCTCACCCCCTCCTCCCAGATCATTACCAGGCTGGCTGGCCTCACCCCCTCCTCCCAGATCATTACCAGGCTGGCTGGCCTCACCCCCTCCTCCCAGATCATTACCAGGCCGGCTGGCCTCACCACCTCCTCCCAGATCATTACCAGGCTGGCTGGCCTCACCCCCTCCTCCCAGATCATTACCAGGCTGGCTGGCCTCACCCCCTCCTCCCAGATCATTACCAGGCTGGCTGGCCTCACCCCCTCCTCCCAGATCATTACCAGGCTGGCTGGCCTCACCCCCTCCTCCCAGATCATTACCAGAGTGGCTGGCCACACTAGAGAGGTCATAAAGCAGAGACTGGAGAACATGTGTTGTGCTGTGACACTGACCTACATACTGCAGTATTCCTGAAACCCAGACTGCAGGACACATAACAGGGAGAAATTGTTATACACCAACCTTTCTTTGAGGCTGTATTATTGTGAATTGGGGTGATATTGAAGGGGACTTTTCTATACATTTTCCAGTCATAAACCGGAACAACACAATAATTGGAAAGTAATCCAAGTAAACAACCTGTTTTTGTTTAGGAGAAACGACTTATCATTCCTTTTCCCGTTCCTGTCATTTCTCCTGGAATGATGACACAAAGTTAATCACAGAATACACAGAGGGGAAAACAAGTGACAGTGTGTTTACAGTTAGAGACAAGGGGCTCTATTCAATCTGGAAAGCATTACGGATTCCGCGCGATAGAAATGTAAAGGTTATTTTCGATTGAGCTGACATTTGCAGCGTTTACCGTGAATGCAGTCTCCGCTAAAAAAATGAATATTGCCTTTAAATTTCAATAATGTTGTAAAGCTGAACTTGGGCGATGCGGATTGAATAGAGCCCAAGCATGCACTGTGTGTCCTGGAACAGACAGACCCGGCACAGTTCAGTTAAAAGACTCCTTCTTCTGATAGCCTTGAACATCTCTCTCTGTCATCTAGGAGAGCATTATATCAGGGCCCATGTAGACATACAATCAATCACATTTAGAAGTTTCTGTCAATAGGGCTCTGTGGGTCTCTCTCTCTCTCTCTCTCTCTCTATCTCTCTCTCTCTCTCTCTCTCTCTCTCTCTGTCTCTCTCTCTCTCTCTCTCTCTCTCTCTCTCTCTATCCCTCCATCTCTCTCTCTCTCTCTCTCTCTACCAGGTAGGCATCATATCAGGGTACCACATGCGTCCCAGGTGCTTGGACACCTCTGTGTGTATCTGTTCCACGTTGCTATAACCATCACCAGGCACCAGGACCTCCTCCATGATGGACAGCTGAGTCAGTCCCTTCCCACACCTCTACAGGTGACCTCACACTCCCCGAGGCCAATGGCTGACAGACTTGTACAGCCCTCAACAATCCTGAACATCTCCTTGTCCAATGGCTGCAGCCCGTTGGCACAGACCACCAGCTCTTCTAGACGAGGGCAGTGCAGCCCGATGTGACCCAGCATCGCTGTGAATTGAATGAAGTGAATTGAACGTTTATATGAGCTACAACGCCAAAGGATATCACTTGAAACCATTTTGTCCGGGATCGCGAGTTGTCGACAATCCGCCTTTTAAAGGCAATGTTACCGCGTTCGCAAAGAACGCATTCACTGTAAACACAGCATATGTTGGCTTAAATATGCAAGTTTTTCCAAAGTGGTAAAACAAATAACATCTAATGGTTAAAGCTCCAATGCAGCCATTTTTAATCTCAATATCAAATAATTTCTGGATAACAATTAAGTACCTTACCATGACTGTTTTCAATTAAAATGGTCAAAAAGAACAGCCTGGTCTCAGAGCAAAACGTATTATATTTAACATAATTCTGTAAACTAAAATTAGTATGATATGTTAAGTTTGGTATGAGAGTAGGATACTTAAGGCATAAACGAAAGGAGGGCAGTTGGTTGGAGTGGATGGGTGGGCGTAAAAAGGTTGCGTGTTCTCATCACAGACTTTAGAATTTTAACTAATTAGCAACTTTGCAACTACTTCACACTTTTTAGCTACCTTGCAACTACTTAGCATGTTAACTAACCCTTCCCCTAACCTTAACCCTTTAACCTAACTCCTAACCTTAACCCTAACTTTAACCCTAACTTTAACCTTAACCCTAACCTTAACCATAGCCTTAACCCTAACCTTAACCCCTAACCTTACAAAACATATCATGCTAAAGCAGTCGAACATAATATATAATTCTAAAGCAGTCGAATGTGATATTTCACACTTAATGGGTCAAAGCAAACAGGTGCGATCAAGAGGTAGGATACTATACGTCCTACAATTCAGATGATATTGGTAGGCCAATATAATGTAAACTAACGTAAAGTAACATAACATAGTAAATAGAGTGGCACGATTTTGTCAAATATAATATGTATTGCTCTGAGACCAGGTTGTAAAGTAAGAAAATTTGCTTTTTAGCAAAGAGCAATTTCTCAAGCAGAATTTTGCTAGGACTTTCTGGGAGTGGTTTGAGTGGGGATTGGAAAATGGAAAATTAGCTGTTGTTGGCAGAGAGGTTTGGAATTCAATCAATCAAACAAATGTTATTTATAAAGCCCTTTTTACATCAGCAGATGTCACAAAGTGCTGTACAGAAACCCAGCCTAAAACCCCAAACAGCAAGCAATGCAAATGTAGAAGCACGGTGGCTAGGAAAAACTCCCTAGAAAGGCAGAAACCTAGGAAGAAACCTAGAGAGGAACCAGGCTCTGAGGGGTCTCCTTCTGGCTGTGCCGGGTGGAGATTATAACAGTACATGGCCATTAGAGCCAGATTTTTCTCCAAGATGTTCAAACATTCATAGATGACCAGCAGGGTCAAATAATAATCACAGTGGTTGTAGAGGTTGCAACAGGTCAGTACATCAGGAGTAAATGTCACTTGGTTTTTCATAGCAGGGCATTCAGAGGTTGAAATAGCAGGTGTGGTAGAGAGAGAGTTGAAAACAGCAGGTCTGGGACCAGGTAGCACGTCCGGTGAACAGGTCAGGGTTCCACAGCTGCAGGCAGAAGAGTGGAAACTGGAGCAGCAGCAGGTCCAGGTGGACTGGGGACAGCAAGGAGTCATCAGGCCAGGTAGTCCTGAGGCATGGTCCTAGGACTCAGGTCCTCCGGGAGGGGAGAGAGAGAGGGAGAGAATTAGAGGGAGCATACTTAAATTCACACAGGACACCAGATAAGACAGGAGAATAACACCAGATATAACAGACTGACCCTAGCCTCCCAGCACTTAGACTATTGCAGCATAGATACTGGAGGCTGAGACAGGGGGGGGGGGCGGAAGACACTGTGGCTCCGTCCGACGATACCCCTAGACAGGGCCAGGCGGGATATAACCCCACCCACTTTGCCAAAGCACAGCCTCCACACCACCAGAGGGATATCAACAGACCACCAACCTCCTGAGACAAGGCTGAGTATAGCCCACAAAGATCTCATCCACTTTGCGAGCCAGAGGGAGCGACAAACCGGACAGGAAGATCACATCAGTGACTCAACCCACTCAAGTGATGCACCCCTCCTAGGGACGGCATGGAAAGCACCAGTAAGCCAGTGACTCAGTCCCCGTAACAGGGTCAGAGGCAGAGAATCCCAATGGAGAGATGGGAACCGGCCAGGCAGAGACAGCAAGGGCTGTTTGTCGCTCCAGTGCCTTGCCGTTCACCTTCGCACCCCTGGGCCAGACTACACTCAATCATAGGACCTACTGAAGAGATGAGTCTACAGTAAAGACTTAAAGGTCGAGACAGAGTCTGCGTCTCTCATGGATAGGCAGACCATTCCATAAAAATGAAGCTCTATAGGAGAAAGCCCTGCCTCCAGCTGTTTGCTTAGAAATTCTAGGGACAATAAGGAGGCCTGCGTCTTGTGACCATAGCGTACGTGTAGGTATGTACAGCAGGTCTATTAACTAATTTACCCCATGGTGATGTCACCATGGAAGGCCAAAACTCCTCCCACCAAAACAGGCAGACATTTTCAAACAGCTCTTACACTTAAAGGGCATTATCATCATTTTCACCGTTTGACAGCATTTTTCCAACCTCATAGTGTTGAAACATTATTTTCTTTAAACACAGGAAAATCGAGTTTTTTTACTGCACTGTGCCTTTAAAGACAAGACAAAGTGATAAAACAAATAACATCTAATGGTTAAAAACAAGATAAAGTGCTAAAACAAATAGCATCTAATGATTAAAGACAATACAAAGTTACAAGACAAAAACATTATAAACTCACCTTTGCTCACGGTCCAGCCGAAGTACAGGTGTGTGACTGGAGTCTCTACTCTGAAGAAGGGCTCGAACTCAACGTCATTAAACAGGAAGAAGTACATAACGATGTTGACCTGAGGGGAGCACAAACAAGGTGTCACGCCCTGGCTCTGGGGACACTTGTATGTTGAGCCAGGGTGTGCATTTCATTTGTTTATCTAGTATGTGTATTTCTATGTTGGCCTGAGTGGCTCCCAATCAGAGGCAACGAGTGTCAGCTGTCGTTGGTTGTCTCTGATTGGGAGCCATATTTAAACTGTCTGTTTCCCATTGGTGTTTGTGGGATCTTGTTTCAAGTCTGTTTATGTTAGACCATGAACTGTCATGTATCGTTTGTTGTTTTGATCGTGTCTCCAATTAAAGAGTATGTTTGCCTGCAACGCTGCACCTTGGTCCTCCTCTTTGGTAGACGATCGTGACACAAGGACTACTTTTTATTTCGTTTTTTTCATTTTCAGAGGGGGGTTACAGGTACAAAAACAATCAAATAAATAAATGCACACAAAAATAACCTCTGACCATATTATATATTATATATTACCACCTCTTCCAGATCAACAGGAAACACCATATTACATTGTTTAAGGGATATATCAGTGAAGACCACCTCTTCCAGATCAACAGGAGACACCATATTACATTGTTTAAGGGATATATCAGTGAAGACCACCTCTTCCAGGGCAATAGGAGACACCATATGTCTCTCTATACTCAACCAGGGGGCAGAATAATTATGTCTAAACCAATTAAGGATGGGGAGAAATACTGGAGCCTGGAAATACAATTTAAAGTTTGGTGCGAATAGTCTTCCTAGGTCTTTCCCTCTTTGTAAATGTATTCATTACCTTGCCATATACATTTGTAAACCACACTATGGATTTTATCCCAATAGCTGAAGGGTGAGACATTGGAAGCATTGAACTACAAAAATTCAGCACTGGCAATATGTTCATTTTGACAATAGATATTCTGCCGGTTAAAGTAACTGGGATATTATTCCATATACTGAGGTCGGATTGAATTGATTTGAGTGTTCTGTTAAAAGTTTCTGGCAATGGTTTTATCTAAAGAAGGAAATATTTTTACTCCCATCGGTGTCTTGAGTGGCAGTAGGTATGATTTGGTTAGATTAATTTTATAACTTGAGATTAAGCTGAATTTATCTATGATCTTCAATGCGTTTGTGAGCGACAGAGATACATTGTCCTAGATATAGTAAAATATCATCTGCCTATAAGGAGATGAAGTGATCAGTAGATTTGAGAGAAATGGGTGTTATTTCCTTCCATTGACGAATTGCCTGATAACAAAGACTGAGGGATTGGCATATATTATTGTGGCCCTTTCCTGCAGTCAAATGACCTAGTTGCCTCATGGGTGGAATGTTTTTTCATAATGTCATCATTAATAAACATTATTTTTTTTAAACCTGCAGAAAGTCCAGTGTTCCTATGGCAAACAGTTTTGTTATATTTCTGTCTTCTGTGATGTATATAAAATGTAATATTGGGATGCAAACTTCAAATTGAATACATGGTATCTGACATGGTACAGGTGTCTTCTTTTTTTAATCTCAGAACCATGTGTGTGAGGTATTAACTTTTTTTTCCCAAAGTAGATTTGTTTAAGACTATCAAGAAACACTGTGTGACCCTGATTTAGCCAACTGCAGTAAAAGGTTAATCATATTAATGAAATTCCCATGTGTTCCAATACAGACCAGAGATATTACCATTCTAGTCTATATTCAAGCTTTTTCTGCATCGAGAGATAATACAGCCCAAGGAACGGTTGTTTCTGATGAAGCATCTAAGATACAGATGTAGGATCTTAATTTGATCACTCTTTTGTCGCTGAGAATTTTCCTGCACAGCAGGAAATGTAAACTTGTAGTGTATTCAAGGTTTAAAAAGGCTTCTAAAGTTTGTAAATTCCATTTTTAAATGTCAGACTTGATTTGCCCTAACGAAAAATGTATCAACCCTTACAAAAAACGTCCATTAATTATATAATCCACATAATAATTCACATTTCCTGTTGCTGCAGGATTATTTTCCTGCTGTAAAACTGGCTCAAATTAAGATCCTACATCTGTATGTAATAGTCGACAGAGGTTAGCCAAGGATAAATGCTTTTTAACAAACACGCTTTGGTCCATGTGTTTCAATTTGGGTAAGTAAGTCTTCAGACAGGACGACAACATTTTGGAATACAGTTTAATATCTGTGTTTATGAAAGATAGGGGGCGATGGTAAGAACACTGGGTGGCATCCTTACCTTTTTTTTTTTAAATAAAAGCTAAATTAGTGCTGTATTCACATCTCTCCCAAATGAACCCTTGTGAACGGCTGTGTTAATCATGTTGAGCAATAGTGGACCTAATTGATTCAAAAATGTTTATTCATGCTATACATTGCACTTTTGAGTTCATTGAGAGAGATTTGGGCTCCCAGTGAGGTGGTTTTCTCTGTTGAGAGAAGAGGAGTTCTTAATTCTTTTAGAAAGGACTCAGTCTGGCTTGGTGTGGATTTACAATCAGAGGTGTACAGTTCTTTATAGAAGCGGGAGAATCTTTGATTGATTAATTTGGGTTCTGATAGTAATTCCCCTGTTTCAGATTCAATAGTTGCTATATCAGCTAATTGATCATTACTGCGTAGCTTGTTGGCCAGTAAACAACTGGGACGATTCCCATGGAAGTAATGGTTGAGTCTTACTCGATGGATGGCAAATTTTGCTCTCTGTCTTATCAATCAATTAAGTGTGTCTTGTCTCTGGAAAGAGTAAAAGCTACCTGGTCTGAAAATAGTGTTTGTTGAGAATGCTCTAACACAGTTAACAACATTTCCAATTCTGATATCTTCTTTAATTGTGATTTATTCAACCCAGATGTAAATGCAGTTGCATTCTTTTTTTGGAAAAACTTTGGTGGCATCCCAATGAATCCAGGGGTCATCGACCTAATTTTTATTGATTATTTTATTGAAACAAATACATTTTTACCGAAAGCTTGTACCTCTACTTTTAGTTTTAGTTGTTTCTTTGCATTGATTTGTTACCTTGTAGGAAATGTGTCATCCAGATTAAGCCTAGTCTAGTACTAATGTACTGTTCTTAGTCCAAGACTATAGGCTTAATCTGTGTCCGGGAAACCGGCCCATAAAGTTTGATTGATTGATTGATTGAATGACCTTGGGTGAGTGTCTGACCATGGCATCCCAGCTGCTCTTCTTGATGGAGTGGAAGAGTGTCTGACCAGGGCATCCCAGCTGGTCTTCTTGATGGAGTGGAAGAGTGTCTGACCAGGGCATCCCAGCTGCTCTTCTTGATGGAGTGGAAGAGTGTCTGACCAGGGCATCCCAGCTGGTCTTCTTGATGGAGTGGAAGAGTGTCTGACCAGGGCATCCCAGCTGCTCTTCTTGATGGAGTGGAAGAGTGTCTGACCAGGGCATCCCAGCTGCTCTTCTTGATGGAGTGGAAGAGTGTCTGACCAGGGCATCCCAGCTGCTCTTCTTGATGGAGTGGAAGAGTGTCTGACCAGGGCATCCCAGCTGCTCTTCTTGATGGAGTGGAAGAGTGTCTGACCAGGGCATCCCAGCTGCTCTTCTTGATGGAGTGGAAGAGTGTCTGACCAGGGCATCCCAGCTGCTCTTCTTGATGGAGTGGAAGAGTGTCTGACCAGGGCATCCCAGCTGCTCTTCTTGATGGAGTGGAAGAGTGTCTGCCCAGGGTTCTCACTGACTGCGTCGATGCGCAGGTGTTCCAGGTTGACATGTTTCTCAGAGGAGAGGGCCAATAGCAGCTCATCGCTCAGCAGGTGGTAGTTCAACGCTAGTTCCCTGAGGTCGCGGCACTGGTCCAGCCACGCTCAGGATACCTAGACAGAGGAAAACAAGGAAGGTCAGAATGTGACCTTAGGATGCTTGGCTAAATGGAATCAATGGGACACAACTTTCCAGGAAAGAAGCACATCCTTCATTTAGACTTGAGACCTGTGCTCTGTTCCAATATACACACTAGCATACCGTGTAGGCTTAGAACGAAGTATTGTAAATAGTATACAAAAATGGATATTGGAACTTGATACCCTTGAGGCTCTATCACCCACCTGCTGGGGAGACGTGAGGGCAGATGCTCATCTTTAGCAGCTTCAGGGTCTCACTGTTTGTTGGCTACCAGGACTTTGAGTGACGGGTCATGGTATGTCATCTATCTTAATGGAGGACAGGGACTTGGAGTTGACAAACACCACTGTCAACGCTGGCTGTGATGTGGGGTGTAATTTCCTGGCTGTGACGTAGGGTGTAATTCTCTGGCTGTGATGTGGGGTGTAATTCTCTGGCTGTGACGTAGGTTGTAATTTCCTGGCTGTGACGTAGGGTGTAATTCTCTGGCTGTGATGTAGGGTGTAATTCTCTGGCTGTGACGTGGGTATCTGGGAGACGTCCATGAAGCTGGGTCTGGCTGTGACGTGGGTACCTGGGAGACGTCCATGAAGCTGGGTCTGGCTGTGACGTGGGTACCTGGGAGACGTCCATGAAGCTGGGTCTGGCTGTGACGTGGGTACCTGGGAGACGTCCATGAAGCTGGGTCTGGCTGTGACGTGGGTACCTGGGAGACGTCCATGAAGCTGGGTCTGGCTGTGACGTGGGTACCTGGGAGACGTCCATGAATCTGGGTCTGGCTGTGACGTGGGTACCTGGGAGACGTCCATGAAGCTGGGTCTGGCTGTGACGTGGGTACCTGGGAGACCGTCCATGAAGCTGGGTCTGGCTGTGACGTGGGTACCTGGGAGACGTCCATGAAGCTGGGTCTGGCTGTGACGTGGGTACCTGGGAGACGTCCATGAAGCTGGGTCTGGCTGTGACGTGGGTACCTGGGAGACGTCCATGAAGCTGGGTCTGGCTGTGACGTGGGTACCTGGGAGACGTCCATGAAGCTGGGTCTGGCTGTGACGTGGGTACCTGGGAGACGTCCATGAAGCTGGGTCTGGCTGTGACGTGGGTACCTGGGAGACGTCCATGAAGCTGGGTCTGGCTGTGACGTGGGTACCTGGGAGACGTCCATGAAGCTGGGTCTGGCTGTGACGTGGGTACCTGGGAGACGTCCATGAAGCTGGGTCTGGCTGTGACGTGGGTACCTGGGAGACGTCCATGAAGCTGGGTCTGGCTGTGACGTGGGTACCTGGGAGACGTCCATGAAGCTGGGTCTGGCTGTGACGTGGGTACCTGGGAGACGTCCATGAAGCTGGGTCTGGCTGTGACGTGGGTACCTGGGAGACGTCCATGAAGCTGGGTCTGGCTGTGACGTGGGTACCTGGGAGACGTCCATGAAGCTGGGTCTGGCTGTGACGTGGGTACCTGGGAGACGTCCATGAAGCTGGGTCTGGCTGTGACGTGGGTACCTGGGAGACGTCCATGAAGCTGGGTCTGGCTGTGACGTGGGTACCTGGGAGACGTCCATGAAGCTGGGTCTGGCTGTGACGTGGGTACCTGGGAGACGTCCATGAAGCTGGGTCTGGCTGTGACGTGGGTACCTGGGAGACGTCCATGAAGCTGGGTCTGGCTGTGACGTGGGTACCTGGGAGACGTCCATGAAGCTGGGTCTGGCTGTGACGTGGGTACCTGGGAGACGTCCATGAAGCTGGGTCTGGCTGTGACGTGGGTACCTGGGAGACGTCCATGAAGCTGGGTCTGGCTGTGACGTGGGTACCTGGGAGACGTCCATGAAGCTGGGTCTGGCTGTGACGTGGGTACCTGGGAGACGTCCATGAAGCTGGTTCTGGCTGTGACGTGGGTACCTGGGAGACGTCCATGAAGCTGGGTCTGGCTGTGACGTGGGTACCTGGGAGACGTCCATGAAGCTGGGTCTGGCTGTGACGTGGGTACCTGGGAGACGTCCATGAAGCTGGGTCTGGCTGTGACGTGGGTACCTGGGAGACGTCCATGAAGCTGGGTCTGGCTGTGACGTGGGTACCTGGGAGACGTCCATGAAGCTGGGTCTGGCTGTGACGTGGGTACCTGGGAGACGTCCATGAAGCTGGGTCTGGCTGTGACGTGGGTACCTGGGAGACGTCCATGAAAGTGGGTCTGGCTGTGACGTGGGTACCTGGGAGACGTCCATGAAGCTGGGTCTGGCTGTGACGTGGGTACCTGGGAGACGTCCATGAAGCTGGGTCTGGCTGTGACGTGGGTACCTGGGAGACGTCCATGAAGCTGGGTCTGGCTGTGACGTGGGTACCTGGGAGACGTCCATGAAGCTGGGTCTGGCTGTGACGTGGGTACCTGGGAGACGTCCATGAAGCTGGGTCTGGCTGTGACGTGGGTACCTGGGAGACGTCCATGAAGCTGGGTCTGGCTGTGACGTGGGTACCTGGGAGACGTCCATGAAGCTGGGTCTGGCTGTGACGTGGGTACCTGGGAGACGTCCATGAAGCTGGGTCTGGCTGTGACGTGGGTACCTGGGAGACGTCCATGAAGCTGGGTCTGGCTGTGACGTGGGTACCTGGGAGACGTCCATGAAGCTGGGTCTGGCTGTGACGTGGGTACCTGGGAGACGTCCATGAAGCTGGTTCTGGCTGTGACGTGGGTACCTGGGAGACGTCCATGAAGCTGGGTCTGGCTGTGACGTGGGTACCTGGGAGACGTCCATGAAGCTGGGTCTGGCTGTGACGTGGGTACCTGGGAGACGTCCATGAAGCTGGGTCTGGCTGTGACGTGGGTACCTGGGAGACGTCCATGAAGCTGGGTCTGGCTGTGACGTGGGTACCTGGGAGACGTCCATGAAGCTGGGTCTGGCTGTGACGTGGGTACCTGGGAGACGTCCATGAAGCTGGGTCTGGCTGTGACGTGGGTACCTGGGAGACGTCCATGAAGCTGGGTCTGGCTGTGACGTGGGTAGGAGACGTCCATGAAGCTGGGTCTGGCTGTGACGTGGGTACCTGGGAGACGTCCATGAAGCTGGGTCTGGCTGTGACGTGGGTACCTGGGAGACGTCCATGAAGCTGGGTCTGGCTGTGACGTGGGTACCTAGTAGACGTCCATGAAGCTGGGTCTGGCTGTGACGTGGGTACCTGGGAGACGTCCATGAAGCTGGGTCTGGCTGTGACGTGGGTACCTGGGAGACGTCCATGAAGCTGGGTCTGGCTGTGACGTGGGTACCTAGGAGACGTCCATGAAGCTGGGTCTGGCTGTGACGTGGGTACCTGGGAGACGTCCATGAAGCTGGGTCTGGCTGTGACGTGGGTACCTGGGAGACGTCCATGAAGCTGGGTCTGGCTGTGGAGATGAGCCCCAAGGTCTTAATGGGACAGTTGACCAGCTGGGAAAGGATATCACAGGCTGCCTCCGCCGACTATGTACAGCTGTCCACCTGCAGGAGAGGAGGAGGAGGAGGAGGGAGGAGGAGGGAAGAGGAGGAGGAGGGAGGAGGAGGAGGAGGAGGGAGGAGGAGGAGGGAGGAGGGAGGAGGGAGGAGGAGGGAGGAGGGAGGAGGAGGAGGGATTGTTATTTTTGGAACACAAACAAAAACCCCAACAGTCAAGGAACAAACACTTATCGTGTCCAAAATGGTGCCCTATTCACCGTAGTGCACTATGGGTAAATATAGGCCCTGGTGAAAAGTAGTGCACTACATAGGGAATAGTGTGCCATTTTAGACACAAACACTGTTTGCATAAGTTATCCAAGCCAATTTATTCCACACATACGCCAGACCTGGGTTCAAATAGAATTTGAAATCATTGTAAATACTTTAGCTGGGCTTGATTGAGCTTCCCTGGTGCAATGGAACCAATGAAATAGTCCTAAAAGTGCAAATCCCGCCTTATGCACTCAATGCTGGCTCAAGCAAATGCACAATGTATTCAAAAGATTTCAAATACTAGCCTCAGTCAGTGTGTTAAGTAGGCTACATTTGCTCCAAGGAGCGATGAGTCATGATGGTTGCTGTAGACAGATGGCAAGAATTAAGGTTCCACATTGTTTACAACAGACCTCTCTCTCTCTCTCTCTCTCTCTCTCTCTCTCTCTCTCTCTCCCCCATCTCTCTCTCTCTCTCTCATTCTGCTGCACACCTCTGCCTCCAGGGCTTGGCTGGGGCCGAATGTTAGTTAATGAAGGAGAGAGGGAGGGAGGGAGGGAGGGAGGGAGAGGGAAGGGAGGTTAAGGAGGGGAGAACAGGTGGGATAGAAAGTGCTGGATAGAAAGGGGTGGGGCAGTTGGGGAAGAAGGTGAGTGCTGGTGTCCCAGTAGGGAAATTCCCATAGGCACTTATCTAAGAGCAGTTTTACGCTTTTCACCCTAATGTTTACAGTTACGATTTAGGGTTAGGTACCTCAGGGAGCAACTTCTACTACCGGAAGCCTATGTCTGCATCCCAAATGGCACCCTATTCCCTATATAATGCACCATTTTTGTCTACAGATCTTTACCTTGAAGCTGACGTACTGCAGATGGTTGGAGTGCCTCTTGATGATCAGCTGTGTGAGGTCTGGGTGTGTGAAAAAAAGGTGCTAGCTAGAACCTAAAAGGGTTCTTCTGCTGTCCCCATAGGATAACCCTTTGAAGAACCCTTTTGGTTCCAGGTAGAGCTCTTTTGGGTTCCATGTAGAACCCTTTCCACACAGGGTTCTACATGGAACCCAAAAGTGTTCTACCTGGAACCCAAAAGGGTTCTTTCTACCTAGAACCAAAAAGGGTTCCCCTGTGGGGACAGCCGAATAACCATTTTGGAACCCTTTTTTACTTAGAGTGTACTGTTGAAAGCTGTAGTTCTCTTTTATTAATATAGGTTTTGTGTTATTTATAAAATTATTTGGGATATTTGGGAATAAGGCCAAAATAAAATAGTAATCGAATAAGTGTCTTAAAATATAGAATCTAATAGATAAATTATTTATTTGTACCTTTATTTTCACAGGGAGTCATGCTGAGACCAAGGTTTCTTTTACAGATGAGCCATGTGATTACATAAATATACCCATCAAAATCAATATGAAAAGCAAAACACAGTCATGGAAAACAAACACATTCTTCATTTAAAAAATGTCCTCAATCAGCTGTCTGTGTCACACCCTGATCTGTTTCACCTGTCTTTGTGATTGTCTCCACCCCCCTCCAGTTGTCGCCCATCTTCCCCATTATCCCCAGTGTATATACCTGTGTTCTCTATTTGTCTGTTGCCAGTTTGTTTTGGCAACCCCTTGCGCCTGTCTTTCTCAAGTTCCTGGTTTTCCAGTTTTGTCCATTCTGCCTGCCCTGAGCCTGCCTGCCGTTCTGTACCTTGTCACACCACAATGGATCGTTGACCTCTGCCTGCCCTGACCCTGCCGTTCTGTACCTTGTCACACCACAATGGATCGTTGACCTCTGCCTGCCCTGACCCTGAGCCTGCCTGCCGTTCTGTACCTTGTCACACCACAATGGATCGTTGACCTCTGCCTGCCCTGACCCTGAGCCTGCCTGCCGTTCTGTACCTTGTCACACCACAATGGATCGTTGACCTCTGCCTGCCCTGACCCTGCCGTTCTGTACCTTGTCACACCACAATGGATCGTTGACCTCTGCCTGCCCTGACCCTGAGCCTGCCTGCCGTTCTGTACCTTGTCACACCACAATGGATCGTTGACCTCTGCCTGCCCTGAGCCTGCCTGCCGTTCTGTACCTTGTCACACCACAATGGATTGTTGACCTCTGCCTGCCCTGACCCTGAGCCTGCCTGCCGTTCTGTACCTTGTCACACCACCCTGGATTATTGACCTCTGCCTGCCCTGACCCTGAGACTGCCTGCCATTCTGTACCTTTTGGACTCTGATTTGGATTACTGACCTCTACCTGTCATTTGCCTGTCCCCTGTTTTTGTAATAAACTTTTGTTACTTCGACACTGTCTGCATCTGGGTCTTCTTCTGAAACGTGATAGTCTGAAATGCCCTAGAGGGACCAATTCATCCAATTTTAGAGAGTTTTGGAGATTATTCCACAAGTAAGGTGCAAAATAACTAAACGCTGATTTACCTAAATTTGTAGAGACCGACGGAATTTCCAGATAGCCATCCTGTCACGGTTTCGGCCGAGGCTGCTCCTCCTCCTTGTTCGGGCAGGCTTCGGCGGTCGTCGTCCCCGGAGTACTAGCTACCACCGTTCGATGTTTCATGTTTGTTTGGTTTTGTCTGTTTGTACACCTGTCCCTTGTTAGTGTTTGATTTGGTTGCCTATTTAGTTTTCGTGTGTGGGGCCAGGTGTTATGTGGTATTGTTTATTGTCTAGCTGTTGCTCTCTGTACTACTCTCGTGTTTTGTTGTTTTTCGAGAGTCCGCACTGTGTGCGCTATCGTCATTTTACGCACTGTGGTTTTGTGCGTAATTTGTATTTTGCCTCCCGGTTGGGTTGGCTGTTCGCCTGTTTGGTGCTGCTTTTGTTTACTAAAGTCTGTTCACGAACGCCCGTGTTTCCTGCGCTTGATTTCCACACCGCATCTACACTCAGCTACTGACACATCCCTGAGACCGGGTACGGTCATTCCTACGTCTAAAGTTTATTAATTATGTTAAGTACAGCTGGAGTTTTTGTGAAAGAGCTTTATAAACACAGAGACCAATGCATCGCTCTAGGAGACTTCAAAGAGGGCCAGCATGCTTTCTGATACAGAATGCATGCGATGTGTCCTGAACCTGCTGCCCGTAATAAAGCGTAGTGCACTGTGGTAAACTGTATCCAATGGTTTCAGTGTATTGGCAGCTGTATTCATATAGATGGTGTTGCCATAGTCTAAAGCTGGAAAGAATGTTGACTGAATTATCTGCTTTCTGCTTTTATTTAGTGAGAGGCATGATCTACAGGTAACTGCCAAAATGAAGGAAATACCAACATAAAGTGTTTTGATAGGGCGCTGGGCCACCACGAGCCAGAAAAGCTTCAATGCGCCTTGGCATAGATTCTACAAGTGTCTGGAACTCTATTGGAGGGATGCAACAGTGTTCTTCTTCAAGAAATTCCATAATTTTGTGTTTTGTTGACGGTGGAAAACTCTATCTCAGGAATCGCTCCAGAATCTCCCCTAAATGTTCAGTTGGGTTAAAGATCTGGTGACTGCATATTGTTTACATCATTTTCATGCATATGGGGGCGTAGCCATGGTAGCCACAATAATGACCTGCCTAGCATTTTTATACATGACCCTAAGCATGATGGGATGTGAATTAACTCAGGAACCACACCTGTGTGGAAGCACCTGCTTTCAATATACTTTGTATCCCTCATTTACTCAACTGTTTCCATTATTTTATCAGTTACCTGTATTTCTAAAGAAGAAGCCCATTTATATTCTCAGCTTTTTAGCTAACTCATCAGTATGCTTTAGCTTTCGGTCAATCCAGATGCCCAGATATTTATAAGAGGGGACACTCAATGTGGACACCATCAATGGGGACACTATCAATGGGGACACTATCAATGGGGACACTATCAATGGGGACACTAGCAATGGGGACACTAGCAATGTGGACACCATCCAATGTGGACACTATCAATGTGGACACTATCAATGTGGTCACTATCAATGGGGACACTATCAATGTGGACACTATCGATGGGGACACTTTCAATGTAGACACTATCAATGGGGACACCATCCAATGTGGACACTATTAATGTGGACAATATCAATGTGGACACTATCAATGTGGACACCATCCAATGTGGACACTATCAATGTGGACACTATCAATGGGGACACTATCAATGTGGTCACCATCCAATGTGGACATATCAAGTGGACACAATCAATCTGGACACTATCAATGTGGACACAATCCAATGTACTTTATGTGTAAATAATCACATACAGCACATTTTTAAGTGTTTTGGAAAATAACACATAATTGGTTTTTACCTGCATTAAGTACCAATTTCAGTTCAACAAATGCTTTCTGCAGGGTAATAGAGGCAGATTGTAGCTCAGATAGAGCCTGGTCAACCGTGGGGGCAACAGCATACACAACAGTGTCATCTGCATACAGGTGTATGTAACAATTTTTTGCAGATATAACAATAATGTTTATATAGACAGTAAAAAGTACAGGAACTAAAAATCGACCACTGTGGGACAACTTTCGTAATATCAAGGAAACTTGACTTAACACCATCAGAAAACACACATTGTGTCCTGTCTGTCAGGTCTTTTTTAAACCTGTTACATGACGCCTGAATCAGTGCTTGACTTGGGCAGGTGTTCACCGTAACTGAGTACTGGCACCTCAAATGTGACTGTTAGCTCATGAAACTCTTAGTTTAAGAGGGTAAAGAATTCACAGACACACATTAAGAATGACAAACTATTTGTTATATTATCGAAGGATGAAGGCTTACAAT